TGTTTTCTGTTAATACAGAAAGAAAAACACAATTATGTATTTGAGTTATATAACTTACAATATCGATTCTGGTGTATTTACTTTATATTAAAGTATAGAATGCAAGCTTCATTATGTTGAAATTTCAAATGCTTCAGATATGATTTTATTATGTTTAGCAACTGTATAAAGAATATAATGAACATATAAAACATAAGACTTGAGCTGACACTCATCTTTCTAATAATGTAAGTTTTTAAATCACTTCAACAATGGATGATTAAATTTTTTTTAGCAATCTAAGAACAGATTAATGCATTAGAAACTTGATGCTATTTTTTTTTAATATAGAACTAATTAAAATTTTGATTTTGAAAAAAATATTCTGTAAAATTAAGGATTAGGTACTGATAGTTACTCTTTATATTTTTGTTTATAAAAAAATTTAAAATATAAAATTTTAATTCTAGTCATATCTGTCTGATTAAAATGCACAGTATTGAGTAATTGTCAAATAAGTGACTAATATTAGTTATCAGATCTAATGGAAAAAATTGATAAATTAACTTGGATACATAAGTATTTGATAAAATGAAACTTGGAGATATTTTAATTGTTTTATTTATATTTTAGTTTTTTCAACAGTTTTTGCTAAATTTGCTAAAAAAAAGCATAAATTGTATAAATTCTGTTATTTTATATTTAAAAAGTTATAGAAAATTAGTTTATGAAATTTAGAACTCAAAAAAATAGTTTTTTCCTCTCTATAACAGCATACAGAGATATATATGTATGTAAGGTTATAATGATTTTAATTTTTAAGATTTGATTATAGGTTAGTCAGATCCAAGAGTCATTACAGCTTTTTCATATGGAGTTAACAATTTGATTATTGATTGTTTATTTTTTTCAAAAACCTGATGTAGGAGGAAAAAATTTGTTAAAATATGACTTTATTCTAGGTCTTTTGGTTTGTTTGATGTAGAAATTTTTTGACAACATTGTACAAATATTGAAGGGAGAAATGCTAAATATTTCTCTTAAGAGCTTTATTGATTAGGAATATTATGTCCATACATTGACAATGATAAATATCCTGTATTAGTCAAGAAATCACTATCTGCTCATTATATGTTTACTTTGTTGATTAGAGTAGTAATCTACAATCAGGTTTATGAAAACTGACTTAAGAAATCAAGATAATCCTACACTGTTGGAAACTTAGCTTGCAAATTTAATCAAGTCTACCTAATTGTGCTGCAATGTAATTTAGACAAAGCTATTCAGGTTTGTTTAAAAGTATCCCTTGTTGATCAGATATCTGCAGTAAAGTTGATTGCTATATCATTTAAATATTTAAATAACTGAAAATTCTTCAGAAAAGCTCTAAGATCTTGTAATAAGAGAATCTATTGCTGTAATATATTTTAAATTTAATATATGTGTATTATTACTCTTGTTCCTACTTTTTCAAAACAAAATTTGAGATCACTTTTCATGTTGATTTACTAAATTCTTAAATGATTGTTTAAAAGACCAAAAGCTTACAAATTATATGATTATTGATTAATACAGTATATGAAATTATGATCTATTATTAATTTTCCTTAATTTATAATTTTATAGTAATTTTTTAATGTATTTTGCTTGCAGAAAAAAGAAAATTTAACAGGTTTTCCATTGCTAGATAGTTAATTAGTAAAATTATAATAGTCACAAACTCATTTACATCTAGCTATGAAAACAATCTGTTGCTCATTTTCATTTTTAAAATGCCTAGTTAATTAATATAGCATTTAAGACTTGCAAAAAAAGGATTGTTAGATATTTTTAAATGTCTAAAACTAAAGATTGTTTAACTTTATCAGTTTTACATCTACAGTTCTTGATAAACTTCTGAAAAATATGAAATAAAATAAAATTTTATTTCATATTTTTCAGAGCAGAAATAAAATTTTTTTATTTAAATAATAGAAGACTTAAGATGGGTTTGTATATTAAGAGCACTAAATAGTTTNATTTATGACAACAGATAAATTTTCATATTTAGATTTTTATTTAAATTTACTTTTATTTCATTTTATTTAAATTTTTCTGAGATGATATTACTTTTTAATGTTGATTTGTTTATATACAGTTCATTATGTTTCTATTTTGTTCATTTTCAATATTGGAGTTCTTTAGATTTAAGACTTTTTTTACAAATCTGAAAATACTTTTATGTAGAAACATATTTCTAGAATTTTTGTAGTTAATGCTAGATATCTGGATAAAATTTTATTTCATATTTTTCAGAGCAGAAATAAAATTTTTTTATTTAAATAATAGAAGACTTAAGATGGGTTTGTATATTAAGAGCACTAAATAGTTTAGCATGCAACACGTAGAGTATATTGATAGTGATATACATCTGTTCTTTTCTCTTTAACAAAAAAAAAAAAAAAAATGATTTTTCTGTTGGTAGTTCAAAATTCATTGCATTCTTCAAGATACCAAGGTACATTAATAAAATTGAATTGATTAGTATTAGAGCAAAATTATCTTATGAATTGTAATTTATCATTTATATATTTTAAGTTAATCAAATCTGAATAGATATTATTTTTACATATCTGTCTGAAACTTACCTAAAATATCAAAAATTTAATTTGGTTTGTTGTATAAAGTTATATTATCATCTACTTTCTCTTCTTTGTGAATTTACTGTACATACTCTCGTTTTTTAAGAATTTTATGACAGATATGCTTTCAAGGCTTTATTTTAAACTGTCGGTACTGAAAACATGTGCATTTCTTTTGTTTTGAAGTATTATTGCTTATGGGAAGAGAATAATAAAGAACAGAAAAGAGACATTTTCTCCTCTTTTCTGTTTGCATGAAGTATGAATTAGCCTTTAGACTACTAAACATTTGTTGGGAAGAGATCAATATCTTCACTAATAATTCTGCTAAACAAGTTTCTACAATCTAATGACAGTTCAAACAAGTATTTTAAGACAGTTGAACAAGAGAAATATTTAATTCCGTTTCTGAATGCTATAGATCTCTTATGAAATATTATATAAGCAATACATTAGGGCCAATAAACCAGATAATAGTAACAATAAACAATAAAAAACTACATTTCCAGTTTGTTCAACAAACCAAAACCAATCTTAAATTATAAGATAATTCTGTTTAAATTATTTCCTTTTTTTAGTTTGGGTTATGTAAAAGAAAGTTATCATCGTGAATCCAAATCAGACAACCCAGCTGAACATCAATAGATATAAGTAAGAGAATGATCTTTGTATCAGGATGTTTTATAAAGATGATAAAAATATAAGCAGTTCTTATATCTTTATTTTAAGATACATAGAAANTCATTAAAAATTGCAAAATTATGAGACAAATTTCCAGTATTTACCATTGTTTGCACATACCGAATGATCGTAGGTATTTTATACAACTCGTTTACATATTAACTATACACTGTCTTAGACGTGTGGATGGTCGAGACGGTCAAAGGATCAGCATATCGCTCTGGAAACCCAAGATCAAATCCGGGTAATCGAAAAACCTGATGAATTTTTTATGGGCGATCTGAATATATCGATCTTATTCCTTTCCACCGGGCCGGCCGATTATGGACCTGGCCCAATTCATAATAGGAATTATTAAAAAAAAAAAAAGTCTTATTAGTACCCACAGAAAAGAGGGGGAAAAAGCTTTTTCTCTAATGGAAAAAATTAGAATTATAATAGATTATATAAAGTTATCTATAATTTATTCATTAGTTATTGCTTCATATATCCTGTGTAAGAGGTGTATTTAATTAGACCTGTAAGTATAGTACACTGTTTTTTTATTTATTTCAGGCAAGCTATTAGCAAATTAATTATTATAGCAAAGATTTTTTATTTTTAAATAATCAGATAAAATTAATTTTATTTGTTTAAAATATTTATATGTTGATATCTTCTTTCATTTAATAAGATAAGTAATCACTCATTAACTTAAACGTATGATATTTTTCCACGATAAATAATTTTACCGTACAACGAACATCAAATTTTGTTTCGTCGTAATTATTATTAAGAGATTTAATGTAATACTCATCCTAACATATGCACTACCTATACTTTTTACGTGCTGTCTAAATATATAAATTCTAATATTATATAATTTCAAGGGTTAATAATCATGTTCCTCCGAGAGAAATACTCCGGATGTTTTGCTGTAAGCGCGTCACGAATTCTTCAACTTGTTTATTTAGTTCAATGATTATACTTTGTATTTATACTTCAAAAGGACAATTGGACAGGAAAGACTTTCGTGAGAAACATTTTATCCAGGTCAGTCGTACGCTAATAAGTTTAATAGTCAAATTAGAATCACGAAACCGAAATATATTACATTTTTTTAAATTACTTTTACTATTATTAACGACAATTTCTGTTACTGCATAAATATTAAGATTTTCCCTATTTTCGGAGGATAAAACATTTTTAGATTTTATATTAAAATTTTAAGACGTTCAACTCAACTTAATGGTAAAAATTTATTATTATTTTATTAGTAAAATTGTCATTAATAGATGAATAGAATAAATTCTGAGCCATTCTTTAAAAATACAACAATGTAAAAATTTTCGACCGGTTGGTCAAAATTAAAAAAAATGTTTATAATTTATAAAATAATTTAACAATAATTTTAAAATTGATCTCATTCTCATATATTATTAAATAAAAACAAAATTTTAATTAATATATTTATAATTTTACCCTACAACAATAGCGCCACCGAACGACTAACCTGCAAACTATAATAAACGATCTGAATCACAACCAGAACCAAAAAGGTTGCGAAGTCGGTAACTTGGAACAAGGCCACAACGCGGAACTTGGACAATGTGATAGATAAAAGACGTATATGGATTATTAGGTTTGTGTATTATTCATCTATTTAATCCGTTTTAAACGTATAGCACTGTAGAAATTAAATTAAAACTCAAATGAAGTAAAATACGTTAACAAATATGTTTTATGAATAATCCAGATGGTGATTAATTAATGGAAAAAAATCCCGCGAAAGTTTCAGTGATTTATAATAAATTTTCTCCTATTCGATTTTTAAATATATTTACAATTGATTCACTCACCCCCTCAATGAATCATCTGGCATTTAAAGGAAGTTTAAATTAAAGCTTATTAAAAATATATTAAACATCATACACTTGTATACATGAAATGAATTCAATGGTGGCCTAGTTTATAAGTTTAAATGTTTCATATATGTGTGATCAACGCTCTTATGAAATCCTGTAATTACCCATGTATGTATGTTTCTCTTAATACATTTGTCGGCGTTTTGAACTTGACTACATTTTATAGTTGTTGTAATTTAATATCTGTTCTGTTGTTAAAAGAATTGTGTAACATTATATAGTCAATTAGTCTCATCCGTTTAAGTTTTCACAGGAAATCAGGATAAGGTTCATCTGTAATACTGTTTTCATTTATGAAATAAACACTATAAATTAATCCTATAAATATTTATATATATATATATACAATACTTTACATAGTATTGTTATGACTTTGTCACTAATTTAGTAATTGAGTATTTAAATTTGTATTTTATTTATGTATTATTAGTGAAAGAAAAAAAAATAGATAAATTGAAGTTGAAAATGTTTTGGCTTCCTAAAATATCTCTGTAATTAGAACAAAAAATCAATACTTATGATAGATGAATAATTGGTAGAAAATAGAAGAATGTTGCTATGAATGCAAAATATTAGTTTTAAAACATTAAATATTTTTAGAGCATAATTAAGATTGTTGATGTAAAATATAAAATAATTACCACTGGAATAAAAATGAAGACATTACTGATATGCATATTTTTAACAAATTATATATGAAACTAGCTGCAAGGACCCGCTTCGCTGGGTTTTTATTTGTTCGTACATTTGTATGTAATATAGTTTTTTTTTATAAAANTATATCTCTAATAGTTTTATGCAAATAATTAAAATTTATTTTTATTTTTAGATGTAATTCTCTTCAAATGTATTTATATTAAAATTGTAAGTTTTTAAAATGGCAGAAAAGATGGCAAATGATCAAAATAAAGTATCTGAGGAAGATTTTAAAGAACTTAAGAATAGGCTTAAAGTAAGTTATTTTATCTTTTTATTTTTTTAAAATAACAACAATAATAATTAGCATTTAATTAGCTGCAGAATTGTAAATTTTGTTCAGTTATTAAATTTAAAATAATTTTGAAATTTCATAAAAAATACTTTTTAAATATATTGATTGAGTTTAGAATGTTACTTTTCATGAAATCTAGTAAACATATAATTTAGAGAAAAAGTAAAATCATTCTTCACATGATAATTCTTATATTTAATAAATATTTATAAACTTAACTCTAATTATTAACAAATTAAAATAATATAATTTATGACAACAGATAAATTTTCATATTTAGATTTTTATTTAAATTTACTTTTATTTCATTTTATTTAAATTTTTCTGAGATGATATTACTTTTTAATGTTGATTTGTTTATATACAGTTCATTATGTTTCTATTTTGTTCATTTTCAATATTGGAGTTCTTTAGATTTAAGACTTTTTTTACAAATCTGAAAATACTTTTATGTAGAAACATATTTCTAGAATTTTTGTAGTTAATGCTAGATATCTGGATGTTGAGATACCAGTTTTAGATAATAAAATATTTATTTTAATAAGCAATTTAAATTTTAATCTGTACTATAATTCATTATAAATTCTTTTCTTATTTTGTTTAAGATAACAGTTATAATTATCAGATATTACCTAGTATTAAAGCAATTTATTTAAGAAAGTTTTTCTATAATTATTATTATATTAGGCTACAATAAATTTCTGAGTTTATCTAATTTGAATTTATTAGTTTTACTTGCTTACATTCAATTGAGGCATTTTATTTTCAGTATAAGCCTAAGTTCTTTAGCTTTTAGAGTTAAGAAAAATATTATTTAATTTTATTTTTACATTCAAAAGATTGATTTGAGTCTAACGAAGAGTACTAAATTTTGAGAAGGTTTTGATTTAAGTTATTGAAGACATTAATGACTACTATATTTTAATTCTCATTTAGTTTAATAATTAAACGATTGGACTAAATTATTAATTGGTAATTTACAATTATTTGGAAAAAGCAATTCAGAGGTGAATTCAGCATCTGCAAGCTTGTTGGGTACATTATCATTGTCATTAGTATTCCAAATCACATTTCCTTGATTGTTGAAAATAAACTAAAATTTGCTAAAATATTAACTCTTAGTAAATCACAATATATGTCAAATATTGTATTTCTGAAAATGGTTTGTTTAATATTAAGAAATTTTATATAAGATGAAATTCATTTAAGATACATTTTTAATATTTTAACTATTAAGACAAATATTACAAAAGCAAGTATTGTAATTAAAGTCAATCAATTAAATTGTTTTTGGTTGAAAGATAAATTAAAACTCATTATTTCAATAAGTTTATTACATCAAATTTGTCAAGTTTTTGATATGGCTTTATTATAAGATTTGACTTAATATTGAAACTAGTTTAACAAAAATCAGAAATAATATTATGATTCAATCCTTAATCAGTTCCCAAAAGATATTTTGAAAGTTACACTAAAAAATTACTTTTTGAAGAACTGAGTAAAAACAGTTCGTTCATTAATGACCATTAGTGAACTGTTTTTCCTCACATTAGTTTTTCAAAACATAGTACTTTAGCATAACTTTCAAAATTGTAAATTGATACAGATTTTAAATTAACAAGCTTTTCTTTATATAAAAACAGTAACAATGCTACTTAATTATTTATTGTTGTGTTGATTAATTTGAATTGTTTCTTTTTGTTGAAGTAGATCAGATTTTTTCAAATAGTAATTTTACTATAATGTTTGAATACAATTATTGTAAATTTGAATTGTGCTATTTTACTATTATATTTATTTATATACAGAAATTTTTCCTTTTAAAGGTTTTTTTGTTATTATTATTATACTTAAAGAAATCAGAAATATAATTTTGATTCATTTACATTTGTCATATGTAGACATACATACATTTACATTTATCATATGCAGACATACACATATGTAGACACATACATTTATCATATGTATTTCCTAATGGGAGTGGATATAATATTGTTCTTTCAGATTTTTTTACAACTATGAAAAATATCTGTTTAATTATTAATATTCAAAATGCTATTTGTTTCTTTAAAATTTTTAGTAGTAATAACTAAAAGTGATTAACTTTAATTTTGTTTAATAAAAATTTAAACATTTCCATTTCAAAGAATGGAATAGATGAAATTTTTATATTTAATATTTATATTTTGTTTTCATTTCTTTTATAAACATTTTAAAATTCATTTCTTTTTCCTAGTTAATATTTGAAGCTGATCCAGAACAGGTAATATATTTGATTTTAAAATCATTTTATTATTTAGAACTGTGTAAATAAACAAGATTAGATGTTTAAAAATAGCATGTTGCTATCTAGAATAAATGTGCAAATGATACAGTGGAACCTGGTAACTCGAATTGGTTGAGAGAAAAAATTCAGACTTAGTTAAAAAGTTTTGAGTTATGGAGGTTTGGCTAAAAATCAAGATTTTGTGCATTGGTTTATCAGTGACCCATAATAGACTATTCATACAATATTTCTTTGGATCTTATTATGTAGAATCATTGTGTCAATGTAATCTGTGTTGTCCAGTAACTGAAATAATTAACCAAATGGTTAAGTAAGCTACTGAGAAATGCTTTTTTGAATGGATTAACCATTCAGGAAAGCATTTCTCAGTATAAGTGTTTAGTAAGGATTTTTTTTAATTGTGATATATCATGCCTAGAATCTGTTTTTATTTATCACAAAAAGCTACTCTTTATGATTGTTATGTTTTCAAATTTTGCTGCAAAGGTTAAAATTTTTACATATTTTGGACTATAATCATTTTTTAAAAATCAATTTATCAAAAATCCATTTATTTATTATACCAGTTAGTGGGAGAAATCCTTTAGCAATCAAATAAAACAAAAAAATGTTTACAAAAGAAAGCAGGTTTGAATGGAAGTTACAGTATCTAGGTTACTCACAGTCTGGAAGCCACTATCCCCATCTGTAGTCATATAATGTGATGTTTATTTTTATTCAAATGTGGTTTCTGAACTTTATAAAAAGTTTGATTACTTTATTTGATAGATAGACATTAATTATTTTATTTAATGGAAAATTAAAATTCTGGAAAGTTTATGAAAATACTGTATCAAAATCCCATTCGAGTTAAACAGTTTGACAAATATGAATTAACCAGTTTGATTTAAAATGTAAATCCCTACGCTGGATGATTGGGGAAAGAAAATGGCTGAGTAAATGCCAGTTTGAGTTAACTAGGTTCTACTATATCTTATTTAGTAAGATATGTTATATGTTTTACTTATAAAATTTTTATTTATTTATAACTATATAAATTAATTGTAATGATAAAGATATAGTTAATTTTGATATAATAAATTAATTAATATATATATTGGTAGATAGATTAGTAGATATATTGGTATATATCAGTGGTTCCCAACCTTTTTTCATTAGCGTACCCCGTGACATGTCATATCTCTAGATTGTACCCCTCATTTAAGAAATTTAGTGAGTACCCGTATTGTTAATTTTACATATTGTAACTTTAATTAAATTAAAGAAAAAAAAGTAAATGAAAAAATGTATAATAAAGTTGTGATTGTTGCAAGGAACATATTTTACCTAATAATTTTTTAATACTATTAGTTTGTGATACATAATATATTATTTTTTCTGCCATAATAACTAACTTTTTTCTGTACCCCTAAACAACCTATCGCGTACCCCTAGGGGTACGCGTACCACAGGTTGGGAATCGCTGC